CATTTGTTTGAGAGAGAGAGAGAGAGAGAGAAATTCCCTGGAACCTAACCCCCTCATTTACATTCATTCTTATGGGGAAATTGGATTCGCTTAACATCGTTTCGCTTAAAGTTGCATTTTTCAGGAACATAACTACAATGTTAAGTGAGGAGTTACTGTACCATGAGGTAAAAAAATTAATCAGTTTGAGTTTAAACATATTCATTCCATATTGGCTCAAATATACTGCATGAGGTGTTTCTTGGATTGTTATGCAGACATCTGCTATGAGGTATTAAGACTTTTAAAAACATTTAATATCCTCAAAATTTTATTAGAGGGAAAACATTTGCAATAGTATTTTGTTTCATTACTTAAGCATTTTAACCAGTTTGAATCTAAGAATTTTTGCAGGAGGACACACTCTGTGTTCTGTGAATTCAATTGCATCCTATGTATTTGTAGTTAAATACTTTCTGAATAGCTGAAATAATATCTAACTTGCACTGATGTCCCCAAGTATTGCTGCAGACATGGGACCAGATCCTGAATTTCTCTTAGCCATGGCAAAGCTCCCATCGATTTCAATGGGATTTCCATAACCCAAAGTCTTATTTACATTTGGAAAAAAATTCATTGCTAAGAATGGGAGCCAGCAATGTATGCCATTTAAGTGGTATTGAACACTAATTACAAGAACAGACCAGAACAAAGCAAGGTCTGCATCATTACAGAAATGATTTGGAAACTGAAAGCTAATGAAAACTGCAGATTCTTTGGGGTGCCAAACTAAGGAATCTTGAGCCTTGAGCTAGGAAATTACTCTATTAACTCCTCCCGTAACATATTATATCCCTTATCATGACAATGTGTCAAGGGCAGTCACTCAAAAGCATCACTCGTCCATCAACAATCAAAACTACACAGGAGCTGAGAGTCAAAGCCTGTGGGTTCACCCTGGAGTTGGGCAGGTACATGCTTTGCAATACAAAAGGAAGTTCACTTAAGTTTAGAGAATCCTTCCTTTCAACACGTCTGGAGAGTCTGCTGTTAACTATCAAGTTCAAATGTACTTGCCATCAACTCAGTACCGAGGTAATCTTTTCTATACATCACACCATCACCTTAGTGTCAGAGCATTGTTCAGTAACACACTAGCAATATGACTAACTACAGTCAGTGTACAGTAACTCCTCGCTTAATGTTGTAATTATGTTTCTGAAAAATGCGACTTTAAGCGAAACGATGTTAAGCTAATCCAATTTCCCCATAAGAATTAATGTAAATGGGGGGGAGGGTTAGGTTCCAGGGAAATTTTTTTTCACCAGACAAAAGACTATTTATATACATAAAACACACACACACACACACACACACACACACACACAATATAAGTTTTAAACAAACAATTTAATACTGTACACAGCAATGATGATTGTGAAGCTTGCTTGAGGTGGTGAAGTCAGAGAGTGGAAGAGGGTGGGATATTTCCCAGGGAATGCCTTACTGCTAAACGATCTAGCACTCGGCTGAGCCCTCAAGGGTTAACACGTTGTTAATGTAGCCTCACACTCTACAAGGCAGCACAGATGGAGGGAAGGGAGACAGCATGGCAGACAGAGAGACACACCCAGTGTGTGAGAGTAAGAGAGAGATGCACATTGCCCCTTTAGGTATGCTGATCCCACTCTAAGTACATTGCCTTTTTATGTAGATCAGCAAGTTAAGACAGCAGCTGATTCCTGCAAGCTCCCTCCGTCCTGAGCCCTGTCATGTCCCCCACCCCGCTCTATGGAGATAGGGTAAGCGGGGGGGGGGGAGCAGGGGGGAGGGGGACATCCTGACATTAGCCACCCTCTTCTCCTCGCCCCCTCCCCTGCACATCAAGCAGGAGGCTCCCAGGAGCAGCTCCAAGGCAGAGAGCAGGAACAGCACATGGCATGGGGAGGGACAGCTAAATTGCCGGCAATTGATATCCTGCTGGGCGGCTCCATCCATGACAACGAATCCATCACATTAGGTAGATGCATTAATAATAAATTAGTGCAAGTATAGCTGAGAGGCCATCCATTAAAGTAAGGTGATGTAGTAAAAGATACACATATGCTTGTACATACGTGTATGTCAGTACTCAAGTCCTAAAAACAGAAGTGCTGGAACTCCCTGCAGCTGTCCCCCTGCTCTGGAAGGAAAGATTTTATCAAGACTATAGCTTAGTATATGCTCTAGTCTTGATTTTTAAAAAGGCCTATTTCACTGAGATTTTATTTTTTAACACTTCACAAGATTCAAGGGAGATTTTACAAAAGGAACAAAGATACCAATAAACTTACCAAACTCCAAGGATAACAGCAAGTTCTTCTGCACATAGGTCAGGTAACTGGTACTGATTAGCATCTGCTAATTTTATCTCATTTAGCACTGTGTCATCATTTAAATCATAATTCTGTTGAAAAAAAAACATTTTAAAGTAAATGACAAAATATTATAGTAATACCTTGAGCTTATTTTGTTGCCCCTAATATCACAAGAGAACATATTTAACTGTTTGAATGTCACAACAGATATTTTATAAAATAACGGAACTGAAAATCAGCTTTTATAATTCTTTAGCAGCAACCTCTCCAGCTGACTGAACAGTGGAAAGGAGCATCATCCAGTCCTTTTTTGCCAGAAGGATAGTCATTGTGATGCAGAATGTCAAAGATGTGACATTAGGGGCATTTTCAGTGGTCTAATAGGAAAATGAATATTGTCTGCAAGAGAGAGACGGGCAACAACTATAACTATCTTCACTGATTTTTTTCCCCAGTTTTTATGGTTTGTCACAAGAGAAGATTTTACAGTTCTCAGTAATTACCTTATGTTTCAATGCTCATTGAACATGCAATGTTTTATGATTACTGACCCTGTAAATGGTGAAGTTAATGTTAAGCCCTAAAAATAATTTAAGGTCAATAATTTGAAGTTTAATCATGAGGCCAAAAAGCTTGAATCTGGCGGTAGTACAAAATTCTTAGAACTAAAACAATATGTCAAATAAAACAAAGAAGTTCTATTCATCTCCTCCCTCAAAACAAACAGGGTTTTTATGTGAAAATATGCATCTGTGTTCTGTTTTTAAAGTATACTGAAAGTACATTTCAAGAGTATGTTGGTATTGACCAGAGTTTCTACGTATTGACTAAACACAGCCAACCAAAAATGCTATATCCTCTTCCAATATGAGTCAGGCTCTTAAGAAGAGAGCAGCTGATTCTACTTCATCAGACGTAACTGAAGTTGCATTAAGGAATTATAAGATAATCAATAAGCAGTTTCCAAGTTCTAGTCTACAAGCCAGAGAAATTTCTTACAGCAGTCATTAGGCTGACTGAACAGGTTCAGTTAGTGTTAACTTACTTATGTAAGATGGTCAATTGAAATATGTTATACTGAGATTAGATCATGTCTTACACATGTTTTTACAATCCAAGCTGACAAACTACATGCAAAAACAAAGAAGCTGATCAGGACTGTGTTTTCAGATATCAATTTAGACTAATCCAACAACATTCAACACACCTGAATTGCATTAAGAGACCTAAACTAACATCCCACATCTCAGGTCTTGTCTCCGCACAGTCTTGCACCTATTTAACTAAAGGCATGATTTTAAGAGATTTAGTTTAACCCATGTAAGTCTGTCTATAGACAAGACCTCTGAAATTTACCGTCCCACAGCTCTATTCTTCTACCTTCCTGCAACAAAAAGGAAGTTTGAAACTGTTTGTTCTGAGATACAAAATATATTTTCTGTGGTGCAACCAAACACACCAAGGCTACCTCTAACACTACAAGCTAAGGGCGTGATCCGAATACACATACTCATGCTGGCTTTCACAGAGCTAACAAATAGCGTACTCATGGTAGCATGGATAGCAGCAGCAAAGGCACAGCTTGCCCTTGCTAAGCGCACATGAAAACCAGTGGGTGAGTTTCTGCTGCTGCTGCTACCCACACTACTGTTGCTACACTGCAATTTATACTCTCACTAGTTCAATGAGAGTTAGTACAAGTATGTGTATGTGAGTAGGGCAATAACACCCCTAGCTCATAGTGAAGAAGTACCCTAAAGCTGGCCAGCACCAGATGGCATTAGAGAGTACCTATGTCACCTTGATTGTATCTAGTCAAGCACAAAGTCAGATGGCTATATTGGCTTTGTTTTGTACAATTATTATTCATCATATATCGCAATGAATAGGTTTTTTATCAAGTGGACTTTTCCATATTCCACAGAACACAGAGGAATTTAAGGATGCTCTCAACAAAACAAAACAAAAAAAAAAAGCAAATGCCAGATTTAGAAGTTACATACAGCCTTAACTTTCCCACTTTTATGCATTATGATACAGTATTTAATTCTCTCCGCATTAAGAAATTCTACTTCCCCACACTCCTGGAACAAGTTTTTTTGGACATGCAAATCATCTTACTTGATGGGCGAGTCAAATGACAGAATGATAACCATAATATGAAAATAATGAAAGGACAGGCAAGCAAATTTTGTGCCTGAACTGGAGGGAGGGGGACACCCTGACATTAGCCTCCCTCTTCCCCCTCCCCTGACCAGCAAGTAGGAGGCTTCCAGGAACAGCTCCAAGGCAGAGGGCAGGAGCAGCACATGGCAATGGTGGGAGGGACAGCTGAACTGCCAGCAATTGATAGCCTGCTGGGCGGCTGACACACAGGGAACTTAGGGGAGCTGATGGGAGGCTGCCGGTCCACGCTGGTTCCAAGCCCCTACCAGCTAGCTGCAAAGGGCTGCTCTTTCTGCAAGCAGTGGACAAAGCAGGCGGCTGCCAAACAACGTTATAAGGAAGCATTGCGCAACTTTAAACGAGCATGTTCTCTAATTGATCAGCAACGTAACAACGAAACAACGTTAACTGGGATGACTTTAAGTGAGGAGTTACTGTATAAGTAGGAAACAGGGTCATCAAGACAGCAGGGGGAGGGGATAGGGTTGCCAGGTGTCGTTTTCGACCAGAACACCCGGTTGAAAAGGGGCCCTGGCGGCTCCAGTCAGCACCACTGACCAGGCTGTTAAAAGTCAGGTTGGTGGCGCTGCTGGTGCAGCGGGGCTTACAGACTCACTGCCCTGCACCCGGAAGCAGCTGACATGTCCCTCCGACTCCTAGGCAGAGGGGCAGCCACAGGGGCTCCGTGTGCTGCCCCCACTCAAGCACCGGCTCTGCAGTTCCCATTAATCAGGCACTACAGCCAATGGGAGCTGTGGGAGTGGCACCTGCGAGGGGGGGGGCAGCGCACAGTGTCACCTGACTGCACCTCTGCCCAGGAGCTGGAGGGACATGACATTGCTTCCCAGGAGTTGCCTAAGGAAAGTGCTGCCCGGAGCCCACACGCCGCACCCCCTCCTGCACCCCAACCCCCTGCCCTGAGCCTGCTCCCAAACTCCTCCCAGAGCCCGCACCCTCTCCCACACCCCAATCCCCCTGTCTCAATCCTGGAGCCCCTTCCTGAAACCCAAGCCCCTCATCCCCAGTCCCACCCCAGAGCCCACACCCCCAGCCGGAGCCCTCAGCCCCTCCCAGTCCCCAACCTCCTGCTCCAGCCCGGAGCTCCCTCCACACTCTGAACTCCTCAGCCCCAAACCCTTCATCCCAGGCCCCACTCCAGAGTCTGCATCTCCAGCTGGAGTACTCACCCCCTCCCACACACCACCCTCCTGCCCCAGCCCAGTGAAAATGAGCATTTGAGCAAGGGTGGGGGAGAGCGAGCTACAGAGGGAAGGGGGATGGAGTGATCAGAATGGGGCTCTGGGGAAGGGGTGGGGCAAGGGTGTTCGGTTTCCTGCTATTAGAAAGTTGGCAACCCTAGGAGGTGATGGCAGGAAACGGCACAGTTTGCATTTCAGCAAACACAGGTGGGGAAGAAAGAGCATGGAGGCTCCTTCGCCACAAGACTTTATGTTGCCTTCCTTACTACTTGTATAAACTTTACTTTGAAGAGTAACTTTCAGATGAATCCACTTTAAATGTTCACTGGACTATAAAAGAAAGGAGCAGAAAATCCCAAGTTCTCTTGTTCACCTAAGACAACAAAGGCACCATCACCTTTGGGACTCTGGGAGACATACTGACCGAGGAAAGGGTCAGCCATCATCTTGCTGGAAGACTCTGGATGAGAAAGGCCCTCTTGAACAGAAGTCTTGAACCAAAATTTACTAGATTAAGTTTTAGACTTTTAGACATGTTTTTGCTTTTATTTGCTTATAATAATTTTTAACTTTATCTCTTATACTTGAATTCACTTAAAATCCTATTTTCTTTTGTTAATAAACTTGTTTTATTTTTACTTTAAACCAATCCAGTGCTGTGTTTAAACTGAACTGTTTGATAACTCAAGTTAAAGTAACAAACTGTTGAATACTGATTCCTTACACGGGCAATGAACTTTAATATATGAACTGTCCAGGAGAGGGCTAGACATTGCAAAGCACATGTTTTAATGAAAGTCTCAGAGTACGAGTGTGTTGGGGTCAGCCTTCAAGTAGTAACCAAGGAAGTTACTTCAAGTAGTAACCAAGGAAGTAGTAACCATCCAACCAGCATGTAGGTCACACCTTGAGTGTCTGTGTATAGCTGCAGGCCCTGGTCCAGCAGCTCTGACTCCAGCAGCTTGCCAGCAACACACCAGTCACACAGACCAGGGCCTGCAGCTATACACAGACACTCAAGGCGTGACCTATATGCTGGTTGGATGGTTGTGAACAGCAGCAGCAAAGCCTTCTAAGGCACCTTGGGTTGCATGGCAGGCACTGACACAATCCTTACTGGTCCAGACTGCACCCCAGAATGATTTTTGGACATCAGTGGAAATTGCTCTACACTTCTAAAGACTTAGCTCCTAACCATTTAATGCTAGTTTTACTCTAAAGTGCGAGAGACAGGGCGTCAGGTGCTAGAAACCTACATGGTAATGCAGTGTTATCTCTGATGACCAGGTGAGCTTCAGTAGTTCCATTTTGGGCTATGAAAGGGTCCAAAGTGTGTGTCTCAGGGAGAAGGAAATAAGGGCAGGGACAGAGACCTGATTAATAGGTGTACTTTCTTTAAAACATTATTAAATTAAACAAGTCTTCTTTATCTGTGCACTATACGAGTTTAAGAGGAAAACGTGTGCCAAGTGAATGTATGATCACAACATCCGGATATGATCTACACATGAAAATCTCTGTGCATCAAATAGAATAAGACAGTCACTAAAGCCATACAACCCATCTTAGGGATTTATATACATTTATTTGTAATTTATTTAGATTTATAAAACAGATAATAGAAATACCTGTCCTAACCTCTGGTTGTCCCTTACAAAACTCAAAATTCACAATAAACAAATTAAACCAAGTAAATCCACTACTAATAGTCCCAAAATCATAAACAAAACTCTTCCAAAATAATAAATAAGTCCATCCTACTCACATCCCGACCCCTCTCCACAAATATTCCAGAAAAAGAAGCTTTGCTGTGTGTTCAAATGGGTTTTAAAAATCGTGAACTACTAAAGAACAAACAATTTCTTTCCAGTGCATACCTTTGTTAAATTTTCTAGATCAGTAGGTGCTGGGCTTAGCTCACGGTGAGAAAGGAGGACATCATCTTTTCTTTGGACATCAAGTAGCAGCTGTGCTACATGCTTTTCCTGAAATCGTGTCCTTTTTCCCAAAGCACCTACAGAAAATTAAGATTTATTGACTATTAAGAGGAATCAGGATCTCCAACACCTTCTGGAAAATGTATTTACTTACAAATTTCATGTAAAATAAAAACAAAATGAGAACTAACCTACAAAATCCAGGAGCATTTTGTATTTCTTTCTAAGCCTGGTTCTTAAAAGATTGGACTTTAAAATTCAGAGCTCTCTATTGGACTCTGTCTGGGGACTATCACCTTTTCTTTAAAATATAAATATATTTTCATGATGAAAAAATGTTCAGTGAATAAAGACTATAGTCATTAAATAATTATTTGACATTTCATTTTTTTAAAATGAAATTCTTCTTAAAAAGCTTTAAAATTATATTTGCTGGAGATTGCACGTTTCATATTAACCCAGAATTTTTTTGATGATGTAACATTCCTACTATCCAGCCAAAACATGAATGTCAAAGAAAGTTTGTCTAGAATGCCAACAATCCCCACATGTTTGTTTCATTTGCCTTCACATTAGACATCTTCGTAACCCTTCTGATAGATTTACTGAGAGAAACCACAATACTTTTAGGAGTCTCGCTACAACAAGTTTAGTTGAGAGAAATGCATGATCACCACTATTCATTTCTAGGGTTATCCTAACCTCTGGCTAAAGTAGTAATTGAAAACACACATATATCGATTGCAGCAAACTATTTTTTCCATTTAACAATAGCCTTTCTAGATTAAAACTTTAAATTTGAATGAGTAATTTCCCTAAAGCCCCTTATTAAGAAAAAAATAGTTATAGCCTTTTTAGGTAAAATCAAGCAACAGTTGACAAAAGTCAACTGTCATTGCTGGGGTTTTTTTTTTTTGTCCCTTAACTTGTTAAACTTTTATGTTCTGATTCTCATACCATATGACACTGATTATTTTTTTAAATACATGAACTGAAAACAATTTGAGTTAACTAACAAAACCACCTTAGAATATCAACATACTAGAACGTTAACATCCACTTAATTCAAAACATAACAGAATGTCATGTCTTGGCTATAGCATCAATTTCATAGATTACATTTTTTTGCAACCAGCTTTGTAACCTATTGCAACCAGCTTTGTAACCATGTACCACTTAATCCTTAAAGTACTAGGGCCCTCTGAAAGAGGAACATGCTATTCAATTTGTATCAAAGACCAATTAGGAAATTACTGATCCCTTAAAATAGAGAATAATGAAGAAAGCGTGGAGCCAGTTAGAAAGTCGGGGAATTAATTCCAAATTATGTGGAAAGAAGTCCTATGATTTTAGCAATTATTTTCCGCAGTGAGTTCACATTATGGCTTTCACAACAGTGAAAGCCATCGTGAACGTTGCACAAGGACATTCAATATGCACACCACGTTTTTATTACAGGATTACTAAAATTAAGTGTTAAGAGGAAAAACACTTTTATGTGAATATACTGCTTGAAGACAAATGGGAAGAAGTCAGATTCTAAAGTTTAAACACTATATTTACAATTCGTTTAACAACTATACATGATTTTCCATTTGGGCCCAGATATGAATGAAATATGCAGGTGTAAAATTAGATTTAACTTTTTTTTGTTTACAGTCTTAGACATTTTTAAAGACTTATAAGTAAACTTAGTGTTCACAAAAAGTGCCCCATTTACAGCTGGGAAATCCTATATTTATGGCATGAGTATAAACAGAGGCAACAGAAGTTCAAGATTCTCTGTACAGCCCAGCCAGTAAGCCCAAACCTTGCTCTGAGGAATCAATTCATATGGAGGTTTGTAAAGATAATTCAATTTCCATGTTTCTACAGCCAATCAATTCTTGTCCTGTCTGTCAACATTGCCAAAAGACAGGATAGTGTTTTCTGTGATGTCAACACCTGTTCATTACGAATTGGACTGATGATACCATATAAGCACTGAACAATCTTTAGAACTACTTTTACATACTACTGAAATAGACTAGACTCAATTCAGTGTCACAGAGGTGAGACAATCAAATTACCAATCCTCTGAGCCATCCAGACTCCATGCATTCTTGTTTCATCATTATAGACTATCCAACAGTTAATTGGTTTCAATTTTTATGTCCAAAATTTTGAAGCATGCTACCAGCCAGGTCTGGAGACTCACTGACTTTAAGAATTTGCTTGAATACTAGAAACATACCAGGATGTGTCCTAGTGCAGTAATACATGAAGCAGTTCCTCAGATGGTGGAAAGTTGATTTTAAAAGATTACCATCCACCACACAAAGAAACCAAAATAAAATCTTTTTCCTTCCTGGTGAATGACATAGCTTGATCCACTTTTTAGATTTCATATATTGGATATGTTATTCTAGTTTTGACCAAGAAAACCACGTATTAAAAGCTTGTAACTAAGGTTACTATAAATACTGTACAGTATATAATTTTCTTGGTCAATTTGATGTAGAGACAGATATTTTTAAGATCTTGTCCCATCTTGGCAGATAGGAAATTTTTATAAGTTTGGGGAATTTTCCCTCTATTTCCATCCTCTCCATTTCCTCTGTAGTATTTCTGGAGTTACCATTACATCTTCTTTCATAAATCATGCATAAACTATTGATACACAGAAGAAAACCCCCCACATGTAACAAAGTGCATTGCACTTGCTATAGAATTACAAGACACAGAAAAGAAGGTTAATTTTCTAATAGCAAGAGAGTTTAGCGACTTTCCGTTTGCGCCATTTGTTACTACTATTTACAGTCCGTGTACACACTCTTCATTTTCCATGTTGTACATGAGTTCTTCCAGGAATTACAATGATGTTTCACAAACAAACAATGACTGCCTACTATTTTGCAGTTCTTCAGGAAGTGGTGCTTTTAGAAATGAAATCACAATACAACACTAAGTATCTTAGTGGATGTGCTGACTTTCTTCTGCACCCTCTCAGCACTATTTACAAGAGAACAGAAGCACAAACTGTAAATGCACAGATACCAATATAAATTCAGAATATGCTACAAGCTCAAGAATCAATCCCTTTCCGCTCCCTCCCCCGCCCCTTAAAATGAACAGTTGCCCTTAACAAGCAAGCATTTCCCAAACATTACCTCACCTTCTATTTTTTCGTGGCCATTAAAAAAATCTCAAGCAATACAAGGCTAGTTAAAGCACATTTTCATAACATTTATAAAAAAAAACTTACCTGTCAAATTAATCTGTAGTTTGGTTATGTCCTTAGCTGCGCTGAAATGCTTTTTAGCATTTTTATACTCATAGTAATTCAAAAATGTATAGGCACATTCAAGATGGAACTGAACTGCCAAATGCCAACATTCATCATCTGTGAACAAAGTCTCTAAGTTTGTCACTGCAAAATATAAACCAAGAAGAAAAAAGACATCAGAACACCCTAAGGGGAATGAAGTTCTAAGGAAAAAAACTGACTGATAATCCCAAAAAGGAAAGTTTGTTAAAGTTACAGTGGGCCCATCATCTGCTATAAAAAATAAAATAAAATAAAATAAAATAAAATAAAATAAAATAAAATAAATAAATATCTGAATTTAAACGTTTGAAGTGGGTGTTAATATGTTACCTGAATCTAATCAGAACTTTTAAAAAGATATACATTTTTTATTTAAGAAATTTCTTAAAGTTTCTTCTGTGGGGACAGCCACACAAAAACATTTTATCAGCTATAAGAAAATTGAGTGGCTTATAGCCAGCCACTCCCAGTCCCTATTCAAGCCCAACTTAATGGTGTTAAATTTGCAAATGAATTTTAGTTGTGCTGTTTCTCTTTGAAGTCTGTTTCTGAAGTTTTTTTGTTCAAGAATAGTTACTTTTAAATCTGTTATAGAATGTCCAGGGAGATTGAAGTGTTCACCTACTGGCTTTTGTATGTTACCATTCCTGATGTCCAATTTGTGTCCATTTATTCTTTTACTAGGGACTGTCCAGTTTGGCCAATGTACATGGTAGAGGGGCATTGCTAGCACATATAACATTAGTAGATGTGCAGATGAATGAGTCCTGGATGGTGTGGCTGGCTCATTACAAAAGCAGCTTTGCCTCTCCTGGAATTGACACCTTCTCATCTGTTATTGGGAGTGGACTACATGCACCCTGATCGAATT